TTTTTTTTTTTTAATCATTTTCCGTTATCAAGGTAATTTCAGGAGGGACACTAAACCACTTTAAATAATAAAACTTAAAAAAAATGTTTNATTCAGCCATGGGACATTTAAAAGTAAAAAGAAATCGTGCTATGTACCCATCTACTGACAGCGAATCTATACCGTATTTTTCCTCACAAATGGAAAAAAGTCATTTATTTCCATTAGTTGTTGACCAATGTGTACAATATCAGGAAGCAGGAAATAGTTGGTACTATTTGAAACATTTGTAGAACTAAATTATTGAGTTTTTTTTCTATTGCAGTAGATGCTTCGAATTCCAAAGACTATTCTAACTGTTTGTACATGGAAGAATAATTTAAGTTGTAAAACCGACTTAAACTATTAACTAAAAGGATTAGTTATCTCGTTCGAAAAAAAAGGTTTTATGTCGTAATGACAACTTAATATGACGCTGAAAGACAGTGCATTATTATAATATAGCTATATCGTTATTAAAGATAAAATGTCGTTATCGTCATTTTTGTTTATATGATCCGTGTCGTTTTTTGTTTGATTTAGGTATTTGATCCAAAAACGTTGTTCAACTAATCATTACCCAATCTTAAACAAAAAAAATTGTTTGAATTGTGTCTCATTCTTATTTCTGTTTGCAATAAGTGCGCGGTATCTACTGCGTTTGAGACAAAATTTATCTTATCAGTTTGTATTTTGCGGTCAGTACATCCTTGAATTCCTTAATACCCGGGAGTATAGAAATCCTACTTTGTTAATGTCACCTCTGTTGTAAAAGTTTATCTCAAAACGATTGATCTAATGATATGTCACATGATTTGGCTTTGTATCTGTTTTGTGAGTCGGCGCATTGGAATGTCAGCCATATAACTCATGGTTTAATGTTGGAGGAAAGCAGACCAATCGGGAGTTCTGTTTATACTTGGTATCATGGTAACCAAGGAGCACTGGCTTACATGCATTTGTTGTACAAGGTCAATATGCAGAATTCAGCTACCCGTGTATGTCGCACTATGAAAACCCGAATGTAAAAGAAAACAGAGTGTCTGTGGTCACCGTGTAGACTTAAGGTACGTATAAGCTGGATTTTTTTTTTTTAATCATTTTCCGTTATCAAGGTAATTTCAGGAGGGACACTAAACCACTTTAAATAATAAAACTTAAAAAAAATGTTTTAACAAACCAGACCGGTTATCTGTTAGAGTTATACCATCATTCCCTGTCTTGGGCCTCTGTGATACACACTGTTTTGATACTCTCGTGGTGGTATATCTACTGATTGTGTTGATTTTATTTGTTACGACATTACCATCATGCAGCTTATTTCACAAAATGTATATTTTAAATGAACCTGAACTGTTTATCACATCATATTATATAAATTCGGATTTAATAAATGTCTCATCTGTTCTTTTGCTACGATAACAATCATGATCTCGCAGTCACATATGGTAGGTCTTTGTGTGACATAAAGGTCGATATTTTTTAATAATTCTCATCAGATTGCCTTGTTGTTTTGTTGTCACTACCTGATAATTTGATGTGAAAACCTGACGTTTTTATAAATGGACCCATCGAACATGGCGGTTGTTGTTAGAGACGCTTTCCCTTCTTAAATAAATAGTATTATTCTCCTTTCAAGGGTCTCCATGTGAAACTTTCCTTTGTCTGCCCCTGTTTTATCATTTTTGGTAAGAATTATGATTCTGTTGACACTTTGGTAATATGTTGTTGCTTATTGTGTGTGTTTAATCAGTGATCTGTTGGAAAGTATTGATTAAAAAAATATTTCAAAATCAAAATGACCTTTTTCCATGGTCTTTTCGTATCATCATTTATATTGCCAAAATTACTTAAAGTGAATTTCCACACACAGGTTTCTATGCAACAGTTCGGTTCAAAGTTCATAAACAGCTTTCTGCACGGTACCAGTCTATGTCATTAGTGCACATGCAACATTAAAGTCCCTTTCCTATCTATTCCTGTATCTCCACTTATGACGATATGCACCCGGGTTCTTCTGCTGAGAACACATTTCCAGTCAAGCTAACGCCGTTGATCAGCTGCCTTTTTATTCTAAGATGTTGATGCTGATGTCAGCTCTTACTTTGTCAAAAGCACTATTTTCACTAATCTTTTGAAATCTCCGAAGATATTGATGCATTAGGTATGACCTTTACTTGTGTGATGTTGTTGACCTGGCCTGACCTTAACCTGTTGCATTGGAAGGTCAAGGTGTCCTATTTCCTAGTACTTGCTCAGTTTACAGATTTTTTCTTCACCTGTCCGGAAGCCTTGCACACAAACAATACACAAGCCAACCGTCACATTTAATACTCTCACAATTCAGGCAATACTTTCTGTACAAAATATTAAAATGATATTTCACGGCTCAGTAATATTTAGCATACAATTTAGCAAACACAGAGTAAGTGATATATTATACTATCTATTGCACCATTACCTACTAGACTGTGTGACTGTCCAGCTTTGCATTACACGGCATCCATACATGTTTTACCCTCTTTAGTGATTGTTCACTATCAAAGCTCGGGTAACAGTTTTTTTCTGTCCACTTACTGTTAAGTCTGCCGTCCGCATACGTGGTTGGACATACACAAAAATAAACAATAGATCTGAACAAAAAACTAACCATCAACTTATAGACTTCAAAACAATAAAAAGATGACTTTCTTCCCGTATAACGTAATTCAAATATGACGTTTTCAGTAAATATTAAAAAGTAAAACATACCTTGTAACAATTACTGTTATACTCATATATAGATTATTATATTTGCCTAAGCAATTGACCTATAATTGACTTACTTTGTTTATGACGTTATAAGTAGATATGGGAATTAGGAAGTATTAAGCTGTTATCGGTAAGGTATGTTGCAAACATTGATGATTCTCATAAGGTTACGTGTGCAGTGCAGTCGCTATAAAGGTAAACAAGATGTGTTATATTATTCAAGCTATAAGTTTGATATGCTTTCCCAATTTATGAAAAGTATATATTGCCATTGTCAAGTACAAACTACTTAAGATGATAATGATAATGTTATGATGATGATGATGACGTAATAATGATGATGATGATGATGATTATCCTGATGATTTATGATGATGATGATGATGATGATGATTGGTGTATGTGCATATGCTATGTACAGTAACATATCTTTTAAAACGCTTGAAAAAGGAAAAAAAAAAAAAAAAAAAAAAACTATTCAAAATAATTAACAAAAAGTACAAAGTACTGTATCAGGCATAGCGCAGACAGACGTTACAGCTACAGTAACATGATTAAACGGAAATGGGATCTGATGATTTTAGAAATAATAAAAAGAGTTAATATCGGAAATAGGCTACAACACGTTAATTTGATTCAACCAATGCTGGTATAGAAAGAACGTGTGGTATATAACACTCAGTAAGTGATACAATATCTTTACCGCATTGTCCCTCCCAAATTAGATATAACAAGTTGTTGATCTGCCAATTTGATGGCTATAACGCATTATATTGGTACAAAGAAAATGGTTTGGTAATCAAAACATTTTATTTTTCTAATCTCTAGTAAAACCAAAAAAAAATACTTCTCTTGATACTTGAAATTATTCGAAAAATATTATTACGTTTCTTGGATTGAAAGATTAATAGAAAATTTTAATTTGCACACCACTAGAAAAGTATGAACATATAACGTTTTCTTACTGTATTTTATTTGTATTCATGCAACCGATTAGTGTTCAGTATTTACATGGGTTTTCTCGCAGCTAATCTTAAAGGATTGCTCTTTGGAGATCGTTGCAGTCTTAAACGTCGATCTACCCTTGTGTATAGAAAAAAAACCTTTTTTATTACGTATGTCATAAAAAATGAATCAAGAAGTTTTCAAACTTCGATTCGCCTTTCTGCCACGTGAATTTTATTTCGTTTGTTTTGTGAAGAAACGCATTAGGTATTAGACTGTCCGTCATGCTGCTATAGCGACAATATCAACACAGTTATCAATGTGTCGTTGTTGGAAGAGATACCGGATACCGACAGACACAAGAGGGGCTGATAAAAGCGAACCAATAGGTCATCGCGTAGACCTTAACTATCTGGGTATTCACGGTATCAAGGAGCTCTTCGAAACACAAGTATTTTTTCTGCTCTTCAACATTTAAAATCTAGCTACCTGTGTATGACATATTCCTAAACGCATGATAGTAAAATAAATTCGTCTACGAGGTCAACGTGTAGACTTCAGGTACGCATTCTTAAAAGAAGTACTATTGGTGCAATTTGGTGCTCAATATTATTTAATATTTACCGATAATACTAATAAAATAATTAAGCTTGAACACGTTAATACCTCAAATTTATTTTTTCGTTTTTCTTTATTTTGGGTTGAGCGGCCACTTGCTATCCTGACCGACCAACAGTTTCAATACTCTTGAGTAAATGACGTTGGTTTTGTTTGATTATGTTGATTTTAAAAGTTGATTTTGTTGACGTTCTTTGAGGTAATTTGACAAAATGCATGAAAATAATGCAATTTGAAAGAGATCAGTATATATCTAATCACTTATTGGATATCTGGCAAATCAATTCATTTCAAAACCCACCCCATTATCAGTAATGTATGTTTTGTGTATTAAATGTATGCTTACTGTTAAGTACCGATCAAGCGAGTATTTATCATCCATATCTCTTTAATAAGTTTCTAGACACCATTGCTATGCGTTTTCGCTTTGTTTGGAAATGAAACAATGGAGGTAAAAAAGACTGATCGTTGAGTGACCAAACAGACCACAGGAAGAAGATACCCTCCTCTTTTTTGTTTTTGTTTTTTTGTTATGGATGGGGTAATGTATGGTTAAATATGAATATTTAATGACATGAAAATCAGGACACATTGTTTGTACTCTTGTCCATCTGCATTGAAAACAAATTATCATCCGGGGGGACATGAATAATTAATCAAACAAGTAAGTTGCACATCTTATAACACTGACAAGTTATACCTACATAGGTCATAGACGGCTATATGTCAAACAGTTACCAATATGATATATGTGTGAATCTTAAACAATGTTAAGATAAACCAGTCCCTTGCATGATCACAACGAGGCTTAAGAGTATAGGTTATGTTGTAAGTTCATTGAATCATATCAGTTTAAATAATTTTAAATGTCTTTTTGGTACCTGTTTATACCTGCGTTCTTTTCGTATTATTATTATTTGTACATCTTTTACCTCTGTGACGTTGAAATTTGGTCCTTAAATTGAAAAAGAAAAGTGGTAAAATATCGCTCTCCATATCAGCAAGTTACTTATCAGATATCATCACCTTTGGGCTTTTGGTAATTCAGAGTAATTTGCTGGAATATGTTTGATCGTCTAGTTCAGACTGAAAGACACAGCATTGGTAAAAGGCAAGAGGTTGTTAGTTGTTAGCACTTTTATTAAAACCTTAAGATTGGAAATTATATGGATTACAATAAAAATTAAAAACATCTAGTGAAAATATTTTTATTGTTTGGTTTATGAAATCTATAAATAGATGATGTAGGTATAGAAACCGATAGAAAGCAGGTACACCATGGATAGTAGGTTATCTAACTTCATCATTCATTATTTCTGCCTTCATAGAAATACTGGTCGTGAAGTTTGCCAAGAAGTTCCTACATATCAAGTCGCCTTTTATGTCTTGTTATTGCATCATTGTTTGTTTTATGAATCAGCGTAGTAAATGTCTGTCAGGTTACCATAATGGCAGTGTTTACAAGGTAGTGTATGATATGTTCGAGAGGGTACCATCAGCTACTTCTGGAAAGCCATACCCCACAGTGTGATGTGTCATCAGGAACTCTGACTGTGATTAATTTGTCTACCTGGTCAACATGTATAATCTTACTGTCAGAGTATGAAGACAATATGAAACCCTGGGTGTAAAAGAAGTGTGTCTTCGTGGCCAATTTGTCGACTTCAGGTATGCCTGTGTATAAGTGAACATTTGCCTTTCGGTTTAAAATAGTATTTCACACAAAAATGGTATTCCTCCTAAAATCATGAAG